CGAACGTCGAGCGAAAGCGTTTGCCTCCCCATGCGTTCCACTCATACATCGAAGGGTGCCTTCAGAATTTTATGATGCCTGCTCAGTCCAATCAGAAATTAGTAAGTGCTTCAGAGTACTCGTATGACTGAAAACATTTCCCCATACAGTGACCATCCCTCACACTCCAAAATTTACAATGTCTGCCATGTGTTCGATGAAGGATAACGCAGTACGTTGGCATGCCTCTGACACCGAGGTTTATTGTGGTCCATTCATCCCAGCTTTACCACAAGTCATAATCGACCCTGGAAATGCTAAAGCGCAGAGACATATATCTATAAACTGGAAAAAAACATCACTTTCTACCTGCCGTACGTACAGGTGACCAAAGTTGGGTGTAGCCCTGAATTTGGTTTAACTCCCTCACCATCACTATCGATTGTAAGTTTCCTTGGGTTTACGTAAGCAGAGTTCAAACGGCACTCGCTCTACGGCGGTTTGCAAAGATTCAGCGTTCGAGTTTTTCAAATGCTTTTTGTGTAGTTTATCCATGGGGCATTCACATTAGCACTGGTTATTGGAACGCAAATTTTCGCATGATTACAGTCGATGTGCCTCCTGATAATGGCATGTACATTAGGCGATTTGCGACACGTTAAGATCGACACATGAAAGGAAGGGGATTACTGATGAAATTGTAAAGTCACCTGAACGTCAACCGAAACATTCATGTCAGATCAGACCTCCTGTACAATTTGACGCAACGATAAGGCACTAGGAACGCAACCATCGGATCGGACGGGATAAATTCTAGGTAAAAGTGCAGCAGAGGGAAATATTTTGATGATGCAGACCTCGAAACATCGAACGTTGTCTAATGCCCTGACCTAACGAATTTCAGGGCGATGTTTTTCTTGCGCTAAATTGAGGGTTTCACGAAATATTGTTATGCTTAATTTCACGTTAATATGTTAAACCGAGAATATATTTACCACATACGAGTTTGCATTAAATCTGAGAGAGTTAAATTGGGGTTTCATCATATAATGTGAAATAGCACTAACCTAGGTTACTGTGCTGCTCAAAATTTGTCAGTATTAGAATAACTTATGATAACAACAATGATATGTTCCACTTTCATGCAAATTAATCATTGCGGTGGATTTGCTTCTCATGCTGGAGGGAGGCAAATATGCAACAACGATCTTAAATTAATCTAAGATGTACGCATTTAGAGTTCTTGTTCCAAACATCGAATACTGCCGACTACCTAAGAGTAGATTCGACTGAAAGTGAGTTAATGTTTTAGAAGGTCTATCGCTATTACGTCGAGAGCGCACTAAAAAAAGAATTTCAGTTTAAATGTAAGTGATGATGAATTTAGATATCATCCTAAAATCTCTACTGCTTTGTTACTTACTTGGTAGCCATGATGTTTTAACACTTTCCATTATTTTTGTAAACATCAGTTTAATGGATTTCAGTACGAGTAACATAAACAAATTTATTAAACAAACAATTTGATACAGATAATTCGTTTATCATTACTATCTTTACGGAATAGGTTCCATTCCAAATCGTTCAGCATGCACTCTGTCAAACGGGCGTCGCGTCGGTATGTGGAAACAAAACTGAAAATCATGATGCAATTTCCAAAGTTTCATAAATCCATAAATGAAAAACGGCTTATGTAGCCAAAGCTCTACAAAGACCTGAGATAACATTGCGATACAACGAGTGCATGCTGTGGAATCCCTGAAGATATAGGGCGTCCGAAGGCAGACGGCGTGGTTAAACGATTTCATCATTGACAATGTTACATCTTCCCTTGCCCCCCTCCCTCAGTCTTTGCTTTTCGTCTCTAGAACAGAAATATCGTAAAAAGCACCAATAGCAGATTACTCATAAGTTTGTTTAACTGGTGGCGTGGAAGTTCATAACAGGTCTTCGCTGTAACAGTGTTAGCTCTGGAGTACGTGCTCTTACGGACTTCGCAATATCAGGCGATACTGTACATAGATCCTTGCACACTCTCTTCGTCTGGGCGCTGAGCTTGGTAGATGCGTGATAAAATTTGACAAATTTCACTCCACATCTCCATCATACAGAAAAGTTGAGCTGAGGGGGCCTCAAGAACCGTAATCGACCGGCAGAGTCGCTCTCAGCTAATTGATGACTATGACAAAAGCAAAAATATCTTTGGCATACAAACACAGAAAAAATTAACCAATCCCGGTCCAAAACCGCATCGACCGCCGTTGTTCTTTGCGGTCGAGGGTTCGCTTGTTGCTGAAGGCGATCGGTCAGTAGAAGACGAAAAATTTGCCGTTGTCCGAGTCCCGCCGAACCTTGCTCCATTCGCTGACGAACCCGTTCATTGCCACGTAAACGCCGGGGCGCTGCAGCACCTGCAAAGCGCCGAAAGCCAGGCCGACGTTGAACTCTGCGTCCGAGCCCTTGAACCGCTCAGGCTTGAACGAGCCGGTCATCACGATCACTTTGTACAGGTTGGCGCCGGCCAGAGCTGCAGCTGTGTCCAGCAGCCGGTCTGTGCCGTGAGTGATGAGGATTTTCATGCCGCACACGCTGCGGCACGTTTCCTTCAGTATTTTCCTAACGACAACACGATGATCAGCCAATAATAACACGACGCAACAAATGGTTTAATGCAGTTGTGCCATTTCGGTTGACCGCCTTATGAAACGATCGAATTCGATGAGGAATAGCTTTGTTCATCGCATAACATTTGTATCGATCATCTCAACTAGTAACCGAGAACATGTCTAACACTTTAGAAACGAACGCTGAGACGTGACGGTGACGGCCATACTAATTCAGTTGGCAGAGCATCAGACTCGCAGACTAAAACCTATGGTCGATGCCACTCGTCTATCATCTTCAGAAATGGAAAATCAAAAAAATGAAAAATCAAAAATAAAAGCTCAATTTACAAACTGAATAAAAAATAAATGCTCAACAGCAAACCGCAAGCTTTGATAACAGTGTCCACTAAGCTGTGGCTGAATGACAGAACTGCAAAGGAGATCAACACCGCATTATAAGCTGCATGAAAAATATTACGATTGGTGCAAGTGCACCAGAGGCTAACAGCCGATCGGTGATTAGAAAACCGAAGGCTACAAAAGTCCCAGAAGGGCATATTCGGTGCGGAATGACCTAAATTCATGACCAACTCTGACTTGCACTTGAAGCATGGCCCCTGTGATAGTCGTCTTAATAAATAACAGCTCAGAAACTGTTCACGAATCAACTGAACACTCGTTCAATGGAATTACACGAGCAGCAGAAAAAGAACCACCGCCTGGTATGGCAAACCTCATATGCAACAGGGAAA